ATTGAATTAGATGGAAAACGAATCAAGCTTCAAATTTGGGATACTGCTGGTCAAGAACGTTTTCGTACAATCACCACTGGTAGCTAACTAATTAATTAAAAATTGGTTTGGAATTGTAATTTATTTACTAAATATTTAAATTATTTATTTATTTAGCTTATTATCGTGGAGCAATGGGAATACTTTTGGTATATGATGTTACAGATGAACGTTCTTTCAACAGTATCCTTAAAAATCAATATTTTTATTATTAATCTCAATAATAATTTTCAAATAGTAATATAATATAATATAATTATTCATTTACATATATATATAATTATTTCAGATATAAGAAACTGGTTTTCAAATATAGAACAGCATGCAAGTGAAGGAGTTAATAAGATCCTTATTGGTAATAAATGTGATTGGGTTGAAAAGAAAGTAATTGCTAAAGAACAGGGTCAGGCACTTGCTGATGAATTTGGTATTAATTTCTTGGAAACCAGTGCTAAAGCTAACATCAATGTAGAAGAAGCTTTCTTCACTTTGGCAAGGTAAATCTTTTTTTTAGATAAATTTTTTTTACAAGGTGAAAATTATATAAATTAATTTATGTGATTATTATATATAGGGATATCAAGAAAAGACTTATTGATACACATGCACAAGAACAACAAAATCATCAAAATAAAAGACTTGAATTGGATAACAAGCATCTTAAAGCCAACACTGGGTCAAATTGTTGTAATTAATATTAATAAAATTATTGATATGTTTATACTAATTAATACCAATAAATCATAATATTCATTATTATGTGTTATGACTTTATTATTATTTAAAAAATTAAGCTGCTAATTTAAATTTTTAAGTACATAAAATATAAGAACTTATTTATTTAATTAAATCAATGGAAATATTAGGAAACTAATAGTTCAAAAATAAAATAAAAAGTCTTTGCCAAGGTGCAATTGATATATTTTTATCTAAATAAAATAATTTTCCCATGTACTCTATCAATATCCTCAATGGTTTAAAAAATCTTTAGCAATGTTATAACACAGAATTAGTAGCTATCTTGCCTAATTAATGACAAAGCTGTTGTGTAATAAGATAAATAAATTTTGTGGATGGTGAATTTAAACAATAAATTAAAGTCAAAAACTAATTCATAAGTAAATAATATAAATAATGTAAATGTTTACTACTTTCTATTTATTTGAAAGCTTGTTTCTTTACAATTTTGTGTGTCAAATTTTTGAATTTTAAAAACGAAAATTTTTGTTGTGATTTTTTATTATGATGTTTAAAAATTATTTATTCTTGATAATTTATAATTTATTCACTACGTGACTTTAGAAAAAATTTTGAATTTAATTAATGGATGGATGGATGGACGGATGAATGGAATAAATTAACAAGCAATCAATTTAATACGTACTGCTAAATATTTATCTTCTGGTTTGGATGGATTACCTCCTAATTCAACTAATAATCCATTATAAGGATATGTTTTTTTAACCTAAAAAATTATATTTATTAGAAATTTTTTGATCAATTGATTCACGATCATTAATAATTTATTAACCAACCGCTTTATCTTCTGGTAAAGTTACATAAATTATAAAAGTAGTCACTCCAATAGCAAAACCGAAATAACACAAATGTCTAAAACATTTAAAAGTATCTCCTTTATAAGCATCAAAACTCCAAACGCTTAATGCGTCAAATTCTTCTGAAATCTTTTGAATATTTTCAAAAATATACAAACAATTAATTAATAATTATAGAAAAAAACATTAACCAGATATTTTAAATTAATAATTAACCGGTTCTCCAATATTTCTTCTTTCTTGTATATCATCCCAGCCCAATGGTGGTCTATGTAAATATAATTTAGTGGGTAGGTCAGGATAATCACCAGTTTGAACTTCCTCAGTTTTTGTTTGAACCCATGATACTTGGCGTTGTCTAAGGAAAATATTTGAATTTTGAAAGAAAGTTGATTTGCTTTTAGGATTTAATATCAACGAACGAGATAATGGCCTCAAATGTTGCAACATACTTGTAATAATTATTTTTTTTATGATAAGGGCCGATTTTTTTTAATTGCCATATTAATGTTAGTGTAACATCAATTTAAAAATGCAAAACTGTTTGGTCATGTGATAGTTTATCAGGCGCTGGACATATAGGTCTCTGAAGAATGAAACCCATTTACTAACTAATTGATTATTTTGCTAACATCTTCTTTCCTTCAACAACAGAAATACGTAAGCGATGTTTATAATACCAAATTAGAATGCCTTTTTAAACAAAGATCGAGCATATTTCCCGTCAAACAAATAAAAATATGTTATTTTATTGGTTGATAAAAAAAAACATGAAACTTACCAAAAGAACATCATATCTAGCGAGCCATAAAAATTTATCAATTGTATCAAAATGACGTCGCACTATTTTGTTATTTTCTTCCGTTAAATCATGCGTTTGGAGCTGTCCAATCAGATAATTTAAAATAATTATTATACTATACCAGAGGTTTATTATCTTCTTGTACGCTCTCTTATTTGTTTACTCATGCACGAATTCCTTTCACCCCGGACTCTATATCATAGCGTACATAAATCATGGACGTATTTATTTTACCAACGTTTTGTTATCTCATTACACCTAAAGTATTATATCATTTATCAAAGTTAACGAAATCCATATTGACTTACGAAAAACTTTAGAACAAGTGTGTATATTTATATCTTTGGGATTTTTGTATTGATGATGATTGTTATCGATTGTTTCTGCCCCGTTTGACATTGATTGAACCTTTTCCAAAAAAAAAATTTTTAAAAAAATTATACTGATACGACAAAGTTTTCTTGTTTTTTGCTCTAGGTTACTAATGTTTAAACACACTGCCAGCGCATATGGAATATATATACATACACACACGACATTGCCAAGCAAACAAAATGGGTTGATTAATATATTTTTTTAGGATCACGATTATCACAATTCTTGTGTGATATTTAAAAATTAATTTTAATAAGATGGACTAGCTTTGTTCAATTTATATTATTATTACGTGGGAATACGGTAAAGTGGATCGATTGATCGACTAAAGGTATTACATATTAATATTATTGTTCGATTATCAGGGAAGCTAAAAATAAATGATACGAGCCACCCTTTTATTAATATTGGGGGGTTTATAGGTAAATAAGGGGGTGTAGTAGATTGGTGGTATTTTCCTTTTTTTAAGACAGTTTAAAATAAAAAAAGATCTATTGTATCTATATAAAAAATTTAATATGCACTATCAATTATCCACAAGCTTAAATCGATCATTAATTAAAAGACAATTTTTATCATCATCAACATCATTATCAAATATAAATACAAGATTGGTATTAGGAAATTCAGGAAAATCAATCAATCAATCATTTCATTTTTCTTTTAAATTAACAGCTTTTTCAACAACATCAAAAATCACAAACAACAATAATGACAATTCTAATGTTTCTAGAGGCAGCAGTAACAACAATAATCTGAACTTATCAAAATTTGATGGTATTGTACTAGGTGTATTCAAGGATGGTACATTAAGTCAAACTATTGGATCAAATAAACTTCCTGGAAAATTTCAACAAACAATCAAAAAAAAACTTGAATATTATGGATGTAGTAAAGGAAATTTAGGTGAATGTAAATTGTTGTATGGAATTGATAAAATTGATGATGATGCTGCTGTTGATGTTGACAGTGGTAACAGTTTTCCTAAAAAAATTGCTATTGTTGGATTGGGCAAAAGAAGAGATTTCAAAAACCCTAGTAATGATCAAGAGTTATGTGAGGCTTTGGAAATTGCTAGAAATGCAGTAATGTTAATTATCAATCATGATAAAATGAAAATTTATTATGATTTTAAACTGTTAGAATATCTTGTTAAATCATTACTTACTGTACATTATTACTATTTGCTTATTTTAGTCAGCTGTTGGAGTTCGCAGTCTAAGAGAAAATAACGCTAAAAATATTTTAGTTGATGTCATGACTAATGAACACGGTAAATTGATGCATGTAATAATATAAAGTAATTCGTAATTTAATATTAATTAATATATTTGTAGGTGCTGCTGAAGGAGCAATACTTGGATTATATAATTACGATACTTTAAAATCTGTTAAAAATCAAAAATCACCAATAACAATTACACCACTTGGATCAAAATCATCATCATCATCATCCTATTCTTCTTCTCTAACTACTTCGTTTTCACCATCTGAAACAACAACTGGCATCAATAATTTTAAAGAGTTATCATGGGAAACTGGTTTGATTTATGCAGAAGCACAGAATTTTGCTCGTACACTAATGGAAGCGCCAGCAAATTATATGACCCCAACAAACTTTACTGAATATGTGCAATCAAAATTTAACAGATTGTCAAATGTTGAGATAATTGTCCGTGATAAGGATTGGGTGGAAGAAAAAAAAATGGGATCATTTTTGTCAGTTTCCAAAGGATCTGATGAACCTTTGAAATTTTTGGAGATGCATTATAAAGGTGGCAGTGACAAGTCACCATCGTCGTTATTAGCATTGGTTGGAAAAGGAGTCACGTTTGATTCTGGTGGTATTTCATTGAAACCATCTTCAAACATGTCAGAAATGAAGGCTGATATGGGTGGAGGTGCAGCCGTTTCTGCATCTTTGTATGGCATAGCAAAATTAAGATTACCAATTAATGTTGTAGCAACAATTCCATTATGTGAAAATATGCCTTCGGGTTATGCAACTAAACCTGGTGATGTTGTAATAGCAATGAACGGTAAATCTATTGAGGTTGGTGATACTGATGCAGAAGGTCGTCTTATTCTAGCTGATGCATTATACTACACCAGTTCAACTTTCAAACCTCATACTTTAATTGATATGGCTACCTTAACAGGTGCAATGGGTGTGGCATTAGGTAATGTTTATTCTGGTGTATTTACCAATTCTAATGTATTATGGCAACAATTATCAAGTTCTAGTAAAAAAACCAATGATAGATTTTGGCGAATGCCATTGGAAGATGCTTATAAAAAAGGGCTGGAGAAATCAAGTGTAGCAGATTTGGTTAATGTTGGTGGTGATAGGTATGGAGGGTCAAGTGTTGCTGCTGCTTTTCTAAAAGAATTTGTTAATGGATTATATAAAGATTTAAATGTGAAAAAAGATAGTGATGAGGTTGATGATGATGATGATGAAAGTGAAATTGGTGGTGTTAGAATTAAAGATGCAGATGAATTGAATTGTATTAGGTATGCACATATTGATATAGCTAGTGTTATGCTTACTACAGATGATTCTGGTTATAATATTAAAGGCATGAGTGGTAAGTGATTATCATTATTATTATTATTATTATTATTATTATTATTATTATTATTATTATTATTATTATTATTATTATTATTATTATTATTTTTATTATTATTTTTATTGCTTTTAAATGAAAATGGTGAAATAGTAGTTGATAAAAAAAAACCAATACAATCATTTAAAAATTTATATATATTGTTTATTTTATAGGCCGTCCAACTAGGTCAATTATTGAATTTGCAAGAAATTTTGGTTAAGTAGAAATAAAAAGTGTCTATTTATGACTTGAACAAAAGAACATTTTACTCTAGATATCATTGCATTCTTAAATGGAGGTTTTGTCAGATGTGAACCTTCTTTCTAATTTCTTATAAAAAAAAAAATATATTGTTGATTTGTCTCTTATTCCATTTCTCATAATTGCATAAATAAATATTTTTTTTTCAATCAACTAATTTCATTTTTTGTCAAATAAATATATAATATTTGTTTAATTATTAATGTATGTATAAGCTCAATAATCATCTAACGTTTTTATAGGAAAGATGGTTAAATCCATTTTATACATTTTTTCAATCTATCCTTCAAGTAAATAAAATTATTGAATAATTTTTATATTATTCAATAAAAAAAAATATTTACAAAGGAATACATGTCTTGATCTTTTTTTTTCCCTAAAAAAATTTTTATTATATAGTGATAATCGTCACTTTCCTAAAAAGTATAGAACTCGAGAACCAGTGAACTAAAAATTTTTGGCGTAGTGGCGCAGTGGACTAGCTCCTGCACCATATCCGATTTTGTAACTTTGTGTAATGATCCAAACTTTTTTTCGTCTTTGATAGCTTAGAAATTTTAGAAATTGGTTTTGAAAATAGTAATAATAATAAATAAATAAATTAATTATGAAACAAAGTAAAACTTTTATTATAAACAAAATTTTATATAATTATTATTACTACTATTTGAAAATTTTAATTTTTAAAAAAATTTTTTTTTGATTTGATTATACTAGATTTGAATAAACTTTCTCTCAAAGAGCTACATGAAAAATTAAAAAAGAATGATAGACTACTGTCACAATTGTAAGAAAAACAAGTGACCTTTTGATTTATGATGAATTGAACACTTGATTAATAATTATTTTTCTCCAAATTGGAAAAAAAAATATAGAGATATAGTTGCACGACTTCCTGATAAAGGTCAAAATATCGTTGAAACAAGTGAACAGTTGAAGAAATTGATTAAAAAATTTGAAAATAACAACAATAACAATAATAACAGCAATAATAATAATAACAATAATAGTGATAGTAATAGTAATAGTAATAGTAATAGTAATAGTAATAGTAATAGTAATAATAAATCAATTGATGAATTTGATGAATTTGATGAATTAGAATCAAAATTTAATAGATTTTCAATAAATAACGATAATAATAAAAACACCACCACAATTACTAATAATAATTATAACAATAATAATAAAATAAAAAAATCACCATCAAAATTTTTTAAAGAAAAAAAAACAAATATGCTTTCAATTGAAGAATCAATAACATTACAACAACAACATAAAAAAATCGAAGAGGAAGTTAAATTTAAAAAATTAACAGATAGGTTTAATAAGATGACGAATATCCGATTTTGTAACTTTGTGTAATGATCCAAACTTTTTTTCGTCTTTGATAGCTTAGAAATTTTAGAAATTGGTTTTGAAAATAGTAATAATAATAAATAAATAAATTAATTATGAAACAAAGTAAAACTTTTATTATAAACAAAATTTTATATAATTATTATTACTACTATTTGAAAATTTTAATTTTTAAAAAAATTTTTTTTTGATTTGATTATACTAGATTTGAATAAACTTTCTCTCAAAGAGCTACATGAAAAATTAAAAAAGAATGATAGACTACTGTCACAATTGTAAGAAAAACAAGTGACCTTTTGATTTATGATGAATTGAACACTTGATTAATAATTATTTTTCTCCAAATTGGAAAAAAAAATATAGAGATATAGTTGCACGACTTCCTGATAAAGGTCAAAATATCGTTGAAACAAGTGAACAGTTGAAGAAATTGATTAAAAAATTTGAAAATAACAACAATAACAATAATAACAGCAATAATAATAATAACAATAATAGTGATAGTAATAGTAATAGTAATAGTAATAGTAATAGTAATAGTAATAGTAATAATAAATCAATTGATGAATTTGATGAATTTGATGAATTAGAATCAAAATTTAATAGATTTTCAATAAATAACGATAATAATAAAAACACCACCACAATTACTAATAATAATTATAACAATAATAATAAAATAAAAAAATCACCATCAAAATTTTTTAAAGAAAAAAAAACAAATATGCTTTCAATTGAAGAATCAATAACATTACAACAACAACATAAAAAAATCGAAGAGGAAGTTAAATTTAAAAAATTAACAGATAGGTTTAATAAGATGACGATCGAGAAGAAAATTAACAAGAAAGGGTAAGATTCCATTCATCTAGTTCTACTTTATATATATCTTCAATGAACATAAGTAAATATATGTGATTTAATATATTATAATTATTTAATTATTATCAGATTTGATGATATGTCTTCTTCAGAAGAATCAGAATCAGATGAATATAACAATGACAATGAAGATGTCCATAATTATGAAGAAGACTATTATGAAGAAGACTATTATTAATTTATTTCTTAGATATATATTAATATAAAGGTATATAGCAATAGTAAAATAACACAATAAATTTAAAATGCAATGTAAAAAAAAATATAACCAAGTTTAAAATCACCAATTATCTAATTCTGCTGGAGTGGGAGCAAGATCTAATTTATCAAATCTTGCTTCATCAAAATATTTCGCAGAAACTGATCGACCACCAAAAAATCTGCCATTCAAATCTTTTTTGGCTTTAATTGCTGCTTCTATATCAACAAATTTTACAAATATTCTTAC